GCAAGCTCAGCCTCTGTGTGCTTACGGATAATCATTTCCATCCCACCTACAGGTCTCCTTGCTTTATCTTTTTATCTTCAGTGTGTAATTAAGCCTCTCTACTGCATCCAGAACAATGTTTTGTGGTATGAATAAGATTCTCAGAAGGCCTGAAAATATGTGTAATTTTAAAGTCCCTCAACCCCTCATTTAGTAGATTTGACGAGATAATGGATTTCAGAGGGTGAGCTTCAGCATTGAGGAATACATTAGAAAAAGAGAGACTCAGCTGCTACATGAATCCCTGCTGGAGCAGCATTTTCTCATGTCGAATAAAATCCTAGGTTAACTATGTGTTGCACCATTTCTACAACAATGAAGATGTCTCAGCTTCTCCTACTGCAAAAAAACCAGGTCTCCTAAATCTCACTTACAATGCAAACATTTTTATTTGTGTCACATTTGAATGGATGAAATAGAGTTAACTATCTCACTTGAACTTAGAAATTAAATAAGTCATAACATTTTGTTAAGTACATCTACTTATGTAGAAAGACAGGTTTTATATATTTTGTAAAAATATCTAAAGTTTTGGCGTATTTTGTAAAAATCTAAAATTATGTAGTCAGGCCTGTTTGAATTTTAAAGGGTGATAATTTTTATAATCCTTATAAATTTCTTTGTTTATTGAACACTAGTCTCATGAAGTCAAAAAGAAAGAAAGCAAAGGAGAGGAAGAATCAGTAGGGAAATCAGTAAGATGAGAAAGAAGACAAAAATGAGATGAACAGAAGGAGGAGTAGGGAGAAAGTGGAATGACAAAATGTGAAACAGCTATTAATATATTACCTATGAATATTGTTATGTTGGAATATTTGTAAAAGTCTAATAAAAAAGACGTGCAACCAATGTATGCTGAAGAGTTGCTTGTCTTTGCACCTATGAAACAGAAACGGCACAACACACACTATTTTGTGTTCTTAGCAATTTGAAGGGCACTAAGAGGCCCAGTAAAGTTGACCCCAGACAAAGTTTGCAATTTTTATCTTTTGTCATCTGAACCCTATGGCCAAGTTCCTCTTCAGCTTTCTCTCCCACCTTCTAAATCCTACTAACACTCTCTCTCTTCCTAATAACTAAAGAAATTACTTGCTAAATAGTTGCATATGTATTTAACTAGTTAAATTTTAATTGAAATTCATTATACCAAAGTAAAAATATATCGATGTATTTGCACTTTATTATCTAATTATGCAATAAGTGGCTTTTTTGCTGGATAAAATAATTTCCAGTTTAGTAATTTGACTCCTTGCTTTCCTGTAAATATTTTACAATCTAACTGCTTTTTTGAAAAAGTGGAAAAAGAAACAACTACTGGAATTTTGATTTTGATTATATCTATGGGCAAATTTAAGAAAGAATGAATATCTTTAAATGCTAAGATTTAAAAATGATTAACATGGTTTTTCTGCTGTTGATGTAAAACTTCTTTGATTCCTTTCTACATTATTTTATTTTTTTAAAGTAGTAATCTTCAAAACTTTATTACAATTATTCCTCTCAAGCTCCTTTATCTGAGGCTTTCTAGCCCATATGCGTTAGGTCTGTCTCATATGTATGGACACTGCCCAGATTAACGACCCTGGGGACTGGCACTGGTAGAAAGCTTTGACTGCCACACTTGCTGACCATCCTGTGTCTCTTGAGGCCATGCTCACCCAGCTGCCCAGCCAGTGACTGGACATGGAGGAGGTGGGACTGCTGGCCAAAGCAGTAACCTTCTAATGGACACTCTGCTCCAGGGCTCCTTATTATTCCGTGTCAGAATTTATCAGCAGCACAGTGAAGTCTTAATCTTCCAACACAATCCCACGTCCTTTCCTCTCTTGGGTGCCAGACAGACCTGCATTATGGTCTGAAGTCCTTTCTGCCTACTCACCTTGTCTTCCCTTTGTCAGGCACAAAGGATTCCTCTAACCCCTTGTGCTTTTATTTTTGGTTTATTCTCAAGTGATAAGGACTGAGAAAAAGGAGCTCCCTTTGTTTGGTACTTTAAAGAAGTTCCTATCTGTTACCAATTTATTAATATTTTGTAAGTCATGAGAAGGTGAGAGTAAAAGGGATCAAAACACATAAAAGGAAGGATTTGCCTTCAGTAGGAGGCAGAAGAAAGGCTAAAGGTACACATTCAAGCACATTTGAAGGTGCAGAGGTGAGATTTCTGATAAATTTAGAATGGTGATAGCGAATAGTCACAGAGGTCATCCATACTTGCAAATCTGCAGCAGGCTCTAGCTGAGGGAGGAGAGAGAACTTGCCATGGATAAGACTTCTGCAATTCTGATGTTTACACTACCCTGGCTTATAATTTTATGATTACTAGACTGGGCTGGACATTACTGACAAAAAAGGCAGTGTCCTTATTGTCTAAGAGAGGAGACAAAATATAAAGACTCATCTCTGAGCTAATCCAGATAGGGAAGAATGAATCTGTAAGGTAAGTTCAGTAGAGACCATTGAGCAAAAGTTATAACACTTGACTGAATCCTGCTGATCCCATAAAGAGTTAAATACCAGGGACAATGTTAGTTCAACTTTGCGGCTAAGAGGAGTTGATATGATATTTAATGTATTTATTATTTTTAACGGTTGAGGATCCATTAGATCAGAATCAAAGCATGAAAATTCAACAGCAATTCTTGATAGGATTTTTTAAGAAAGTGAGTAGATGTCAAGTACTGTTACATCAAGAAGAGGCAAAGCCCTTCCTTGTGTTTAGTAGGTGGTGTTTTATTTGTTTGTGGTCTTGTTTATGACTCATTGGGTGCAGAGTGCAATTATGGCTGCATAGCTCAAGGAAGGGAGGCTTTAAGAGTCCTGTTGGTCTTAAAACATCGCCTCCTTCTATTTTCCATTACGGAAGCTTATGGATAGTAAAGGACCATTATCCCAACTTCAGGCCTACAGTGGGGCCTGGTTTTCTTGTATTAAATACATCAAAACAATCTCACTCTCTTTCCTTTTGACCTAAGTGAACCAACTCACAGTGGTCCCAAGATGTCATGGCAACATGAAGGTTTTTAGGTTGGAAACTGGTACTCTCTTTTTTTGTTTTTTTGAGTCTATGATTTATGATAGAAAATCTGCAACTGATAAAACTGTAACTGTTTTGGTTCTAACCAGGAAGCTTGCAACCTCAAGGAAGGGAATGAAAGAAATCAAATTGTTGATGAAATGATTGATCCATGAAATCAAGCGCCTGTGTTATCCTGTAGCCTTCAGTTTGTGTGAGTCAGTTCTCCAATCACTTTCAGTCAGATGTTCTATTGGTTGCAACAGAAGTGACTCTGGTTTTGATGGCACAAATCCTGAGATCTGAACACTGGTGTTGTCATAATTATAAATATAAAACAGTAGGCAAGTCATTTAACTACTTTGATTCGTGACATACTTATCTCTTAAATGGATGTGACATTATCAAGTTTCCAGTTCTGTTATACAGATAAGTAGGGGGAATATATATATAAAATGCTTTGCTCAAGGGTGGTACCTCCAATGAATGTTATTTCCTTTCCTCTTTGTGATATTACTTCGCCCATATAACTAAAGTGAAACCATTTTCTGTCTTGGTATTATAAATAAATAAATTTATTTCCTTTAAAACCTAATGAAAGTGAAATATATATACTGATGTTGTGGAGTGCTCAGATCATTTCTCTCAGGCTTCAAGAAGACTAAACCTGTGCATTTCATAAAATCTATGCATTGATCACCTGGGGTCAGTGACAAAATGTAAGAAGTTCCTTTAGGACAAATCTAAAAGTCCTTACTGGGCCAGGCAGACCTCACCTCCCATCTGGGTACTATTCAGTATTTGTGCTCTCTATTCTCATGCCCTGACAGTTGATCTTAAAATTGTATTAATATAAAAAAAAATAGGTTGTAGTCTGAGCACTGTTTCCTGCTCACTGTTGTGACCGATGGCTGCTTCGTGGTGGGCCTCGGACCAGAACTGAGCTGCCATCCTCTTCTTTACAGCCAAGAGAGCAGATTCCTGGTGGAAACACAGGGCATCCAACCAAAGAACCCAGGCCACTGACAAAGAAGATGAGCTGTGCCCCTGGTGGTGACAAGGCTACAGAGGAGTTAGGGCAGAAGGGCAGAGCAGGGAAAGTGGGTCCTTATGAGGGGCCCTTTCTGCACCATGCTGTGCCGGTCTCAGGTCCCCACGGCTCTCACAGCCACTCAGCAAGCATTACTGGGGAACCACGGTTTGCCTCTCAAGTCCTGCCTGAGTTATCAAGGGTAGATGATACGATTCCCGACTCTAAGAAGCCCATAGTCCAAATAGGGAGTTGGACAAACAAATAACTGAGAACCGGGTCACGCAGGCACAGCCTAGTGGCTCTGAGCCCCTCCGTGGTGACTTTATTACTGCTCTCCTCACGCCCCACACTCGGGGTAGACGTCTTGACCTGACACTCCTACCGACCTGACTCTCTGCCTCTGGTTTTATTCCCACAGAACTGACTTCAGGGTATTCTCATGTTAGAAACCCAAAATTTAAAAAAAAAATCTAAATCTCACAAAAAAATCTACCAATTCCTCATTTGCTTATTAAGAAATAAGGATAGATGAGAAGCCATAAGGATAATAATTTAGGAGGAATAGAACTCCCCCCAGAAAATATTAAATATACCGTCTACTCATTCGAACCTTTGTTGCTCCACAATTGAGCCCCGTTTCCGCAGGTACAGGCAGGGCTCTCTGACAGGAAGAGCAATCAGTGCCCTAGGTTGATGAGAGATGTTCTTCCCATCAGGAAAGCAGTGTCTCAAAAGTCAGGATTATGATATGAATAGTTGTCAATCACGATATATTTTTGTAAACGATGACTCCCAAGTTACTTCTACTGCATACGTATGTTTTGCAGGACTACAATATACAGGTTATTTGGTGTATTGTGCTAGTTGCTATCACTGCCTTGTATGAATTAAAGCTTTTATAGTGAGACCACTTACTAGCATTCACTTCAGTTACCACGGTGGGTTTGGGGAACTGAATCCGGAATCCTCATGGATAGTCTTCAATTCCTTTGAACAATCTCATGGCTCGCTCACGAACTACAAAGAAGGCAAAGAGGATATGACTTTTGTTAGGTGTTTAGATACTGCAGTCATGTGTTTTAAAATAAGCTATTATTTATTACATGCTAGATGTAATAAAAAGTGTAACAATACTAAGTAGTATCTAATTTAATATTATTGATAGACTTATTTTTAAGGAAGAGGTAACTGAGGCATGAAAAATCCAAAACTTGATTGAGTCACATGATGCAAAAGAGATAGTACTTGCTACTCTTAGGCAACAGGACACCCAGTGCTCCACTCTAACCCACGGTATCACAGCTATCCTGCAAAGCACCTCAACCTTACCGATCTGAGTCACTTTGATCCGCAAATAAGAGACAGTTATAGAAAGGTTATTGGAAACCAGAAAACTGAATCCTCAACCATACGTTTAGGTCTTATAAGAACTCAAGAAGAGCGGAATAACAGCTTCTGAGTCAGGAACAATTGAGCCTTGGAGAAATTGGAACTCTTAGGTTATGCTGGATTGAAGGTGAAGAGGTCCAAGAACTTCGCTGTAAAAATGCATAAGATTTCCTCTAAAGATCTCTATTTAACGTGGCTCAGCCATCTCTCCATCTGCTTTTCCTCCTGTTTCTCTGTCTTTGCACCACTTTCTACCTTCTTTTCTAGACGTGTGCACACCTGTGTATATGTGTTTCTTCCTAACAGTTTTCTCTCATCTTATAGTTTGTTTTACTCATAACCGCAGCTCATTCACATTTAACTTCTGTGTCCACTACTAAATGCATTTTCTAATTTAAATTCCAATAGGAGGTAACCTCGAGGGCAAAAACCTCCTTTTAGAGCCTTGTCCTATTACTTTCATGTTTCTAACATAGAACAGATGTCCCTGAAAGGCTATTCCTTCCCTTATATGGAAGGACATTTTCCATACAAGGAGATGTGAACATGGTATTTTGTCTTCATGATGTGGTAGCACTTTAGTTTGTTTTTTAGAAAAAAAAAATATATATAGCTGAATCATGCCATAGTACACGACTGAAATAAAACACCTTAAGGGCCTAAGTGATCTCAGAACGTTCATTTTTAAATACTAACAAAGGTGTCCATCTAAAAATTATAACAAAAGGATTAAAAACAATGTCCCTTTTTTGTTTTTAGAGCTAAGTCCTCAAGAAAAAAAGTACTAACGTGACACTGAATTACTTTTCTCCAACAATTAGACTGACATAATTTATTGGTCAATTTTTTTCTTCCATATGCTAATGAATATCTAAAAATAAGAAAGAATAAATGACAATAAAGTGTAAAGATAAGATCTCTGAGCTCCAGAATTGAGTTGTTAATAGGAGCCTATTAATAGACTCCTAGGGGAAAGCCAGATAATTAATTATAAAATAAGAATGCTGATCTATTAAAAAGGAAAATTTAACATCTTAAAATTAAAATGTAATAGAGTCTCCTTTCTTTAAAAATAGAAATAGAATTTATGGCTAATATATTTTGATCATGTGTTCCAAGTTTTCTTTTACTTTTTCATATATCACTTTTCTCAGAGAGATTTAGATCTTCCTCCATGAGGAAGAGCAAGAGCATTTCTTCTTTGCTGTTACAGTATGCCTAAATGTAGGCTAAATGTGGACATAATTAAAATCATGTAAGAGGTCAGAGGAACTCTTGAGAATTTGAAGTGGCAGAGACCAATTTTATTTAAAGTGGGAAGAACCTTAGCCCAGTCACCCATTTCATGTGGAATCTCTTCATCACTGACTAGTGGACTTGGGTGAGTATGTCCCTGATGTTTGGAGAATACTATTATTTTTATTATAAATTTACATTATTTGCAGGGTTTGTAAGATGATTTACCATTTTTATTGAACATTCTCTCAGGTATTCTCAGGTAAACCAGTAGTATAAAACTATGATTCCTATGAAAAATAAAAGCAACAGTAAAAGGTTAAGCAATTTCCCAAGCATGTTCAGATGTGACCATCTCCCTGGTCATATAGGGAACAAAAACATCTGGTAAAACCAAGGAAACACATATGTGTCTTTTACATGTTCATTGTGATCTGATAGCAGAAGTCATTGGCTCACAAGCATTTACTGAGTAACTACTCTGTTCTCAGGGGTTTTATTATATACTAGGAATGTAGTAGAGAATATAGACTGGAGATGATTTTTCTCTTAGATGTGCCAGACGCTGTCTGCCAAAATGGACACACTACTAAAGAGATAAGGAATAAAGGCCCTTCATGAGGCCTCTTGAAGAAAAGTTTGTCTTTACAAAATGCTTTTAAAAATACATTCTTTTTCTTTTGTTATTAGGAAACGCTTACTGAGGTTGCAAAGTTGTGTTAGTGTATTCCAACTCTGAAATTCTGTGCTCTGGTCTGTTCTATGCTTCTGGGACAAACGCTGATATCTGTTTAATACAACTCTGTTTTTGTACGACTGTTTTGCCTGCCATTTATTGGATCCTAGTTTAATTTAAGGGACAGAACTGGGGAATTCAAGGATTTAAGTATTAATATTTCATCAGTCTGCAAAAGGTTGTTATCTCATCAGGGCAAAAAGAAAATCAAAAATTCTCTTTTTGACCCTTGTGAAAGTCATTTTGAACATCTCCACTTGTCAAGACTTTGTGCTCCCTCTAGGTTGCTGTCTTGACAGGAGCTCCTTCTTTTGACAGATTGATTGCCCAACAGATATTTGTTTAATGGGTATTTTTACTGTGTCAATTCAAATCAAATTATGTTTGTTGCTTTGTTATCATATTTCATGAGCCTGTTAAGATGGCTACTGCCTTCAAGGTTGTATTTATTTGCTTTTGGTTTTTCAATCAGGCAAATTGATTGGCAACAATGTGTATGAAAGAAAGAACAATTTAATAAAGTTTTTAAATGGTGAGCTCAACTACAGAGCTCTCTTGTGGGAGAAGAGACAATCAAAATGTTTCACAATAGCTTCCCTTCTCATTCTGCAGACAATTTTCTTATATTTTAAGATTTATCATCCTAGTTCCCTTGCAACTGTCTAGTGGATAATCTATAAGTGCCACACAGCTGCTGTAAAGTCACAATTGAATGTCATTGTAGTTGCGGAGACTATGTGGATACATCATCGAGTAATTTATCACCCTGGATAACACTTCCTGAGAATCATGTTCTTGGAGGTAAAAATTCAAATGAAGGGCATATATTTCCATAAATATAACACAACTCATACCCTAACAGTTGGATATACCCTAACATTTTCATGTAGCTCCAGAATACAAGTGATACAAGACTTTCTTTGCATATTTCTCCAACTTTTAAGATATTAAGATCCCGACTCTTAGAATCTTACTTTAAACCTGATTTTCTTCCCCTATACCAGTGATGGTAACCCTTTTGGAGACCAAATTTAAACCCCAAATCCACTTATTTGTCACAAAGTACCAGTGCTGCAATTAAACCTGAATACTGAGGTTTTCAATTAGAAAAAACAAGCAAACAAATAAACAGCTCATACATTACATCTTTTGTCTTAAAAGAAAAAAAAAAGGTGCCATAGGTTTGCCACCACTGCCCTATCCAGTTACTCAAGTAAAAGTTAAATATAATTTGTTTTGTTTTTTACAGCTATTTACAAGCTTGACTATCTCTCTTTTGCTGTTCTAATTTGTTTTATTTATTTATTTATTTTTATTTTTTGGTACTGAGGATTGAACTCGGGTCCTTGTGCTTGCAAGGCAGGCTACTGAACTGCTGAGCTAAACCCCCGGCTTAATTTGTTTTATTTTGGTTAGACGACAGCATGAGGTCTCCCTTCTTAAATCTTGAAGTATAGTAGAGATTATTGCTGATGATTGATACAATGTAGTACTGCAGATCTGCATAGCTTTTTCGTTTTGCCTATCTGGACCCTAATGCCTCACCACCTACCCTGATTTTTCACAAACTCCCATCTGAATACTTTCAATTTTGGATCCAGAGTCCTGTGCTTATTTTTCAGTGAATGGCTGTTTAACCTGTTTATTTTATGATATTTATGCAAATAAGCATTGTATTAATCCTGGTATATCATCATCATTGGATTAAGAAAAGCCTAGCAGATTAGTAAAGCATATCTCTGGGTTTGGTCGCAGAGGTGTGGCCTTGGGACGTGCGTGTCCTTCCCCATTTCCTCTCTGGTGCTGTTCCCCCGCTCTGCTTCCTGCCCACCGTGAACTGAGCCGCTTTCCTCCATCGTGCTCTTCTGCCATGATGTTGCTCCCTTGGATCCAGCTGTCATGGGTGGAACCCCCTGAAACCACAAGCCAAATTAACTTCTCCTTCCTTAAATTGTGAGAGCTTGGTACTGGGTCTCAGCCACAAGAAAGCGAACACAAATTTTCTTAATGCGTGAAAATAAAAGCCTGATATCCTTTTATGCCTGTGAATAAGAACTCATTTATAGTCATATAAATATATGCTCATCATGGTATAGAGCTCATTATAGCACTGCAATGTTTGAGTCCATAATGTTTATAGAAAAAACTAAGAAAGTCTTCATTTTACTCTACAGATAAAATAAATAACAAATGCATCTTCTTTATGTGTCAAGAGGATGAAATAGCACATTCTGATGATTGCTCTGAAAGTATTGTGTGCCATTTTATAGAATCTGATGTACTTTTAAACTTCTCTTCTGTGTCTCTTTATCAACTCCCCCTAGCGGCTTCACCGTAGCTGGCACGATGCTTGTTGAATGCATGATTGTACAATGGCTTTAAGACATTATTTTCAACCTCAGTCTTTGCTTGTTTGAGTTAAATTATTTGTCAAAGTTATTTATGCTAATAAAGCAAAAACTCACAAAGGCTCTACATTTTAAATTTTTTCATCAAAGTTTGGACTGAAATAATATTTATTTTACATGCTGAAACATAATTCACGTGTACATTTTTAAAAAATCACAGGCTCTTATTGTATTAGAGAAATATGTGATTATTGATTTTTAGTTTACTAAAATTCATTGCATAAAATGTCGTTGAGCATTAATATTAG